TTGCACTATTTTGTCTGCGTATGTTATTATTATACACATGCAGTGCTGTGCCAAGTCAGCAGTGATGGCAGATGGGGCGAGCTGTGTACTATCACAGCACGCTCCCTTGGACTGCATTTCACCTCCTGTGAGTATAATATGTTATTTATCAACCAATCATACTGAATTGACATGGAATTTAATATTACTATGGGGGTAGTGTTTGTCGTGATGGTTCATCTGTTTTTTACAAGTGTATTCTAAACTATTATTCTCATTTAAAAAAACATTAAATTAAGATTTTTAAATATATTTTTAATTATTTTAATATGTTCATATTAAAAATAAAAAAAATATTTTATAATATTTTTAATTAAAAAATATTTTATACTACATTACCAAACACACATGGACATGCAAAGTCAAGTAACTAAACTCTTTAAATAATTGTTTGCCTTGAATACTAAGATGTTGCTTGTTTATTAACAATTATTCCGTGCATATCTTTCAGGTGAGAGATGGGTGGGTAATAAAAACCGGGAAATGCATATATATATATATATATATATAATTGACTGGCTGCTTGCAAGTTGAGATAGATGGCAAGTCAAAGCTTTGATGTAAAAATGTGATCCACATGAAGGCAATGTGTTATATTGTGGATATTGAAATGATTTTTTCAAATTTATTTTTAATATTAGAATATCAAAATTATTTTTAAAAATAAAAAATAATTTAATACAAAAAAATTAAATATTTAAAGCATGGAATGACTGCAAATTCTATTTTTAAATGTTCTTCAGCGTTGTTTTTGTTTGTTGTTATGTTGTGAACAAGGATGATAATAATTGATAAAATATAATTATTTAAATTCACAGCAACTATTACAACTACCCCCAGCAATGTCTCGATGATGTACTCAAAAATTTGATTGGAAGGGGACAATCTCAGATATGATGGATCAAACTCTAATACCCCTTTGATGTTCTTGTTTTGTTTTTTTGTTTTGTATGAAAAAGGAATCCACCCACATTTAAATTTAGTATCATTGTGGCAGCCGCTCTTGAAGGATAGTTTTGATTGTTTTTTTAAAATATTTTTGATATTAAAATAATATTTTTTGGTTTTTAAAAATTAGTTTTAAAATCAACATCTCAAAATAATTAATAATAAAAAATATTTTTAATATTTGTTTTTTGAATTTTTTGAAACATCGGACGTTCCAAACAGCTTTTTTAGAATTTTATCATCCCCTTAGACAAACGAATCTTAAATTTTACTTTGGTTTTTTTTGGTATTATTAAATCATATAAAATCAAACTTGGATTTGAGTGCATGGGTTTATAAACAGTCTTGAAAAGCTCCTTCTCGCAATCTTAAAGATAAGATGATGCTTGACGGAATGAGTAGCTTCGAATTCCAGCCATGGCTCATACCTAATCATTTTATGTTTAAGACAATCAATAAAATTAATCATCATTTCAATTATATACTGCCACCATCTAGTCCCTAGCCGAGCAATTAAGGCCATAATAATTTTAAATTATTTTTTAATTTAAAAATATATTAAAATAATATTTGTTTTAGTTTTAAAATTTTTTTTTTAATATTAATATAAATATGATAAAAAAAAACTCTAATTTTTTAGAAAACGCTGCCCAATAATCACTAGACTCAACTCCATTGATTGGTGAATTAACCTGTATCTATATCAAAACAACAATCTTTATTAATAAAAGAAACAATCTTTATTAATAAAAAATAAAAGTAATGTTTTGAAAAAAAATAATCTTAAAATTAGTTTATTTAAGTCTCACATAATTTGACCATATTAATAAAAATTTAATCGGTCAAGGTCAACTCTAAGTTAAATATTTTTTAACAAAATTATGGATTGATGAATTGTGTCATTTTTATTTGACTCAAAACAAACCTGGTTTAGGCTAGGCTTTTAAATTAACATGTTATTAAGTCAATTCACTGGGTTAAATTCACTAGGTTAGGTTAGATTTAATGCATGTTTGATAATATGGTTTAACTTGTTTTTAACATGCTTATTAAATTGATTTTTGTGTGAAAAATCATTAAATTAATAATTTTTTAATGATTTTAATGTAATATTAAAAATAAAAATATAAAAATATATATTTTTAATATTTTTTTATTGAAAAACAATATTAAAAAATATGATATACTATATTAACAAACGCTTACGTGGGACCCATTTGTTCACAAAAGGCACCGTGTGACACACCTGTAAACAAACACAACCAATCCGCGACTCATCAAGGAAACAATAACGATGGCCAATCTCACCTACACCACTTCAAAAGCGTAATAACTTCATTCTTCCAAGGGCAAATACGTAATCCAAAATTACCGTACGAATAGACAAAGCGTACTCGCTCTTCGTGTACTACACCATTTACTACAGTTTTCTTCCTTTCATGCTCCTCCCCTCCTCTCCAAAGTCCAAACTGGCACGCCCACAATTCTCTAACTCCTCCCCTTCTATCTCTCTCTAGAACTCGGTGCTTTTTTCCCTATCAAAAACTCACTGAGTCAGGAATCATGATGCACATGACTTTCTATTGGGGCCGGGAGGTGACGATCCTGGTTAACTCATGGCACACAAAGACATGGCTCGGTTACTCTCTCTCTCTACTTGCTTGTCTCCTCGCTTCCATCTTCTACCAGTACCTGGAGAACCACCGCATGCGACTCAAACTCATCTCCTCCGGATCTGTGAAAGCGAAACCATCACCATCGGCCACGATCGATGAGCCGCTGCTTCAAACGATGGGTGGTGGAGGAAAAGTGAGGTGGTCTGCCGCGAGAGTGGGAGGAGCTGTGCTTTTTGGGATAAATTCAGGGATTGGGTATCTGTTGATGTTAGTCGTCATGTCGTTTAACGGAGGGGTGTTTTTGGCTGTTGTCTTGGGGTTTGCAATTGGGTACTTGTTATTCAGAAGTGAAGATGAGAATTCGATGCTTCTTGATAATCCCTGTGCTTGTGCTTAGACAAGAAAAGAAAAATAGCTGTATATTTTGTTAAAGAAGAGGAAGAAAGTTTCCACTCTTGATTGCAGTAATGTTGTGAGTGTTCTTTTTTTCTATTTTCAGCTGTGTTTTGTTGGGTGATTTAAGGATTTTAATTTCAATTGAAGATGTGAGTTAAAAGGAAGTGTTGTCGGCCCAGTTAAATCAAGAATTGTCTTCTTGTTTTTCTGGATTGTAAAACTGGTTTCTGTTTGCAATGATTACAGTCATCTGAAAATCTCGAAAAATCCGTAATTCTTGATTGACTGTTAATTGCCTGTTTGTGATCGTGCTGGAGAATTCTTTTTAAGTATTTTTTGGAGATTATTTTTTAATTTCTTACATCAATACATTACAATTACTATGAAATATTAAAGAGTAATTCAAATGATAAAAAAAAATGCATTAAAAAGAAGATAAATTATTAATTTTTTTAAAATCCAATAATGTGTTTCGCGATTAAGGTAAAAAGAAGATAAATTATTAATTTTTTTTAAATCCAATAAGATAAATTATTAAATTTTTTTTGGAGTTATTTTTATTTTTATTTAAAAATATATTAAAATAATTTTTTATTTTTTTAATATTATTATATTAAAATGATCTAAAATTACTAAAAGAAATAATAATTTAGAATGAAAAAATAAAAAAAAATTAATTTTTTAAAAGATATTTTTAAAACTTAAAATAAAAAAGGCTTTAAGATTTTATTAGCTAAAACGGTGTATCATTATGCAAACAACACGAATAAAAATAATTAATAGTTTAAAATATATTAAATTAATATATTTTAATGATAAAATATTAAAATAAATTATAAAATTTGATTTTTAATTAAATTAATATTAAATAATTAAATTAAATAAATAATAAAAAATATTTAACAAAATTCTACTTGTAAAATTTACGGTTCAACCATAATAATTCTATAAAAAAAAATAAAAAAATTTATAAAATTTAATTTTTAATAAATTAAATATTAAATATAACATTAAAATTAAAATTAAAATAAATAAAATAAAGCTAGCTTCATTAAAATCATTGATGAAAAGAAACTTAGTTTCAACTTCTTCAGTATACCATTAATGGTCAACTAAAAACACGTTCTCCATTGGAGGCTCAAAGGATGGGGACTAGTTTTTTTTGATCTGCGTCTCTAGAAATAATAACAAACTCAATTAGATCATAATGGCACCAAGGCAACTTCGAAGGATAATTTCGTCAGCCCTGAATGTTCTTATACAATTAAACAATATTATGACCGAGCATGGCGCCTGACTCATGACGCTAAAAACACTATCATCTTTTTAACTAATCCGAAAAACGCCCAGGTAGTCTCTTGCTCTGTCCTAGTTGCTGACCTAATTGATGAAGCTTGCATCTGATAGTTCCTTTGGAACTACCATTTATAGCCAATGATTCAACCAGGAATTCTTACCAACTACTCAACTAGGGGAAAAAAAAAAAGAGAAGCTTGCTTACCAACCCATTAAAAAAGTTTCAAGGCCGGCTTACCCCCCATGAACCACAGAGTCAGCTTTTCCTTCTAGGTTTCAGTCCATTTTATCAGTAGGGGGGCTGCTTGTTTGAGATACTTTCAATTAGAGCAGGTGAGTGGTTGTTGAAATTGAGATATTCCCATACCGAAATAATCAGATTGCTAATTTTATTTGGTTCTAACCGTACTGGAATTCTGTGCTTGATTATGATGGATGTTAGGTGCTTGTCTATCTCAATGTAATAAATAACGAGGAGATACGATTCATTGAGTGGATGTGTCCTCACGGTTTACGTTAGGTGCCTGTCTATTCTTGAGTTCTAGAATTCAAATGCATGGTAACAGAATTCGTTGATTATGCAAGGAGAGAGATTCAACCTCTCATGCAGAAGCGAGGAAAGGAGAGACAATGGCAATTGCATGCTGTCTATTACCCTTGTTCATCATCCCAGCACCAGAGCAGTGCTATTCCTCTGCTATATACTTTATTCAACAGTAAAAGAAGATTTTCACCAAACTAAGTAAAGCGCCCTGGCTTGTATTTTACAAACATGCATTCCTTCTCAACAATCCAAACTCTTACAGGATCATGAAAGTATTTTAGCTACAACTCTGAGCAATATTTCTTGCATCCATTCTGTTGTGATTACACTACATGTATCGGACTATACGAACCTATTCATGAACTAAACATTAAATCTCAAGTGGGGGGGGGGGGGGGGGGGGGTTCCATTGGGTGGTAGTAACCAGCTATATTCCTGGATCATATCTCAATTATCTTCAGCTTTGCCTTATTCATTTCTTTATGTTTATGCTGTCAGCTTGCCCAAAAAGAGCTGCAAAAGGTCAACTTATACAGAGCACCGAGAGACAAGCTTGTGTGTATCCTCAATTGTTGCAAAGTCATAAATAATTTACTGTTCAATGCCTCAATGGCTTCAAATGAGAATCCTCCTGGAGCTGATGAATTTCTTCCCGTTTTGATTTATGTTACTATAAAGGTGAGATAAACAATTGTAATAATTAGATTTACTTGGCATTAAATTTGAAATTGTTCAGAATTTTGCTTCCATACCAATGGAAATAATTTGTTCTGAATTAACTGTTCACTCAATCATTATCATCATTGGGTAAAGTTGATTGCTGTGTTGTGATTAGCATTTCTAGAGGAATTTGGGGGGGGGGGGGGGGGGGGGGGTATGCTTTTTTAAATAGGTTTCTTTCATCTAGACCTCTTTTCTATTAGGAGAGTTTAAACCATTTCCATAATTCTCATAGAGGACAGGATCCGAATAAGATACTGGAGAAAAAGGCAGTTTGATCCTATGTCTCCAACCACAACGTTGATGGTGCCTGTGCCTGTGATTGTGGCATCCATTTTCATTAGTTGCATCCTTTTCTCCTTCACTTTTCACTCCTGCTTCCCTGCTTAAGGACTCGCTGCTTCCATTTTCAGTTGGCACTATGTACACGAATGGTTGAATAAATGTTTCATCAAAATCCTGAAGAGACTCCAAGACCTCAACCACGTAACTCATCATGGGCCTAGGTTTTGGATGATGACTCAGGCATTTATAAGCTAATGCAGCAGCCTTTTGAGCTCCCTTGGTGGAGTATTGCCCTTCAAGTCTAGGGTCCATGATCCTGTCAAGTTTGCTGGCGTCCTTCAAAAGTGGCCTTGCCCATTCCACAAGGCTTTGCTCTCGACCAGGGCGGGTGTTATCCATAGAACGTTTACCTGTAAGCAACTCCAACAGAACTACTCCAAAGCTGTACACATCACTCATGGTTGTCAGGTGGCCTGGAATCAGGATATCAAAATGGATTAGGTTTCTCGACTTCCGAATGGAATAGTAACCACCTGATAATAACATTTCTAAAATAGGTGCTGGCAGCTTCTATTTGGAGAAGTGTCGCTGGTAGTAGAATTTATGTGAACTAAAAACTAATAAAAGCTTAATAGATAGGCTTCCAGAACAGAGAATTGAAGAAATTCAAATAGGGAAGGATGGAACAAAATTTCAGTAACATCAATTACCAGTCATGATATACTCAGGCGCAGCATAACCTTGTGTGCCCATTACACGTGTTGTCACATGTGTCTCTTCTCCTTCAGGACCATCCTTTGCAAGTCCGAAGTCTGAGAGTTTAGCAGTGTAATCCTACAAGGAGGAGCATTAGGGAGAAATAGTCTTTAGGATCAATTTAACATGAATATTTATATTGTTGCAAGCCAGCTGTTTGGTGGGAAATAAAGCTCAAAAGAGGGGGATTACCGAGTCCAACAAGATATTTGAAGATTTAAAATCCCGGTATATCACTGGTTTGTCTGATTCATGGAGAAAAGCTAGGCCCTTGGCTGCTCCCAGAGCAATTTTCATCCTGGTTGACCACGGTAATGCAGCGGAATATCCTGCATATCAACCAAAAAGAAGGAAGAAAAAATTACTAACAGCAATGTCAAATTAGGTGTCACCTAATTTTGTTGAACGGAAATCAACAGAACACAATTTTCCTAAGCAGAGACTGATTCTAAAATTTGTTCAACTGTGCTTCATTTTATATAGGTGACAGAAATTTCTACAAATCTGATCAATGTTTGGCTGCAATCTTGATTTATGATGAAAAAAGAGGAGGCCAAGCAACATACTTCTGAATAGCTGATTCTCTAAGCTGCCTCTTGGCATATACTCGTATACTAGGAGTCTCTGGTCCTCCTCGCAGCAATATCCAATCAGCTTGACTAGATGAGAATGCCTCAGTTGTCCAAGAAAGATTATTTCTGCCTGCAAGAAAAACACCATAATGTTTTAGATGAGAGCTGAGTATAATGAAGAGCCGGTGCCAGAACTTCGAAGTGGTACTCTGAAATAGTAAAATGTCTCAAAATTATTCTAAACAAAAACCTCTCATATAACTTGAATGCATAAAACTAACCATCCACTCCTTGTGTCCTTGCAAACCATCTAAGTCCAGTGACTTCACAGCTACAGGCTGGGCATCCAATCCTGGCCTAACCTTATCATCCACAAACCCCTTATAGACCGGTCCGAACCCGCCTTCACCAAGAAGATTGCTTCGCGAGAAATTATGTGTTATAACTCTTAGCTCTGAAAATGTAAATATGTGCAGTTTTGAACCAGTGAAAGAATTTGAGATATCTTCTATGCAGAATGGTAAACTGGGATCGCTCACATCTGAGAGAGAGAGCCTCTGAAAAGAACCTTGTTTTGAGATCCGATTTGTGGATTCTGGCAAGGGGCTGCTACAACAACTCAAGATGATGGATTTTAGTGTAACCTTCTTCATGGTCATCTTGTATCGACAATATGGATCAATCAGGCTTCGGATAGTCTTTTACAGAATAAAAAATATGAAGAAATGATTGGTCCTGAACATAGGAAACCTGAAATTTTACGCACTAAATGAAAAAAGAAGGAGAAAAGATGAGATGGATATGGAGTTTTCTGATGTGAAAAATCTTTATTGATGGCCGGCCTTATATTTTGTTCACTCACCTACTACTCTCAAAATAGATGGAGCTATAGCCTTGTGTATTCTGTGATTATTGCAACTATTATTTATACCTCTTTCATGATTTGATGATTAAAATATCAAGTCTTGTCTTCAAGTTAGTTAGAGAGAGAGACATGACCTGGCTGCCTCTTGACTTTGTACAACATCAATAGAAAAAGAGAAAACAAACAACTGCCCTTTCCAAGCTCCTTTTCTTCCATGGTCCATGCATCCATGTATTTGTATCTTCCCTTCCCACAGCCCTTGATGGTGCAAGGTCCACATCCATCCCCTGGCTGGCAGCTTAAATATAAACAATTAAAAGAAAATGCGCAGGCATAAATCCTGTTTCCTTAACAAAATGTTGAAGCTGCAAACTGATCCAAGTAAACAAATTTTACTTATTATTCTAGCCACTGGCGCAAGACCGGACAACGAAGAGGTGTCATGTTTTGAGGAATCCCAAATGAGAAAAAATAAATAACGGGATGCTATATAATATCTGATTTCTAATTCTATGTTTCTAGATAGACAAGGATTTTCATGCCGAAGGCTTCTGGTTAAGGTATTAAGATGTCAGGATCAGACGATGCCAACCAGACAAGTTCTGGTTTTTTAAAAGAGTTTCTAAGACGACCTCTAGTAGTAGTGACCTGCAAGTTAAAGGGAAAGCTTCTAGAAAGAATTGACCCCATGACTATGCTGAAATGAAATCCTTGCTTGCGTAAAACCAAATATTTAACAACAAGCTCTTCTGGGAACATTCATGCAACCTTTTATGCGGTGATGGCAATGGAACTCATCCTGTCCACAAAAGAAATGGCGCTACAGTTATCATACCCCAAGCCCTAATCATTGTTGAACCATCACTACTTGCTGTGCATTAATGCCTGCCAGGTGATGTGAGTCGAGATGTAAGTCAAGCAAGTGGCATTAAAGGGACCTTATGGTATAGGCCATCGAATTATGAGGCTCAAGAGGTCAAAGAAAAAGGGTGAACAAATCAACCTACCCGCAACCACTCCAGTCTCTCAGGGGAATTTTACCAAACACCATGCATTTAAAACTTAATACCTTGGAAAACACATGGTTTATGTATTGCACGATACTATTTTTTACAGTTGTATTATTGTGATCTGATTTTCAATTGACTATTAACCACAAGGTAAAACCATGAAATATGGTCATTAATAAGGGGTGGAAAGGTTCAATTATATGCAGATAAATTACACACAGAGGAGTCTCACTACTAGCCAAACACTTAATGCTAAGTGATGGGTACATGTGTGTTTGATATATTTTTTTTAAAGGTACATGGTCAAAAAGATTGAAGGTGGGATAATAACTTAACTAACCTTGATAAGATGCCTAACCTTAGAGACACGCACCTAATATTATTTTTAGGTTTAAAATTATTAGATTTAATTACGTGTTAAACTTAAATATACATGCGTTTAATAAAATATTAGATTTAATTGTTTTGAATTTAGTTAAATGCTGAATTTAAATGTATATAAATCTGACAAAACGACAAACTCAAATGCTTTAAGTTTAGTTATATCCTTGATAAGATGCCTAACCTTAGAGACATGCACCTAATATTATTTTTAGGTTTGAAATTATTAGATTTAATTATATGTTAAGCTTAAATATATATGAGTTTAATAAAATATTAGATTCAATTGTCTTGGGTTTAGTTGAATACTGAATTTAAATGTATATAAATTTAACAATACGACAAACTCAAATGCTTTAAGTTCAGTTATGTATTAAATTAAAATACAAATATTTATTCTTTATTAATTTTGTATGATGAATATCTATTCTTTATTGTTTTTATTAAGAGAAATTTCATTCAAACAACATAATAAAATTCGAAAACTATAAATATCATTTGAAATATTCAAATAAAGGGTTCATATTTTTTCTATTCTTTATTTGTACTTTTATTTTGTATAGCATTTATCATTTATAATTAAGAACAAAAATTCTTGTTCTTAAAAACAATTTCTTATATCAAATTATTGATTTTATTATTAAAAAATTCTTAAATCCCATAAAAAATAAATTTTTTTACAAATATTGAGTCTTTTATCATCAACCATCATCTTTTTGAACTTTAGATACCAAAACATTAACATGAACAAGTAACTGTTATCTATTCGAACACTTAAATAATTCTTATTTCTGAATATATTGTATTTTCAAACATTATCATCATTAAGTATTTTTTATTATGCATAGACAGTAATGTCAAGATTAGCACAAGAATGTAATAAAAAGCAATGCAACCAATAAATTTAAGGAATGCAAGAACAAACCAAAGGATCCCCTCCCCCGAGGTCCAACTCCAAAGCTGGCTTCACTATGGCAGAAGCTGATTCTAGGCAGCAAGACATGGCATGTCTGGAAACACTAAATGTGCCATCTATTTACATGGGTTATTGCCAAGTGTCAATTACAGATTGAAAAGCGGAGTAACTTGTCTTCAAGCTGATGCAGCTGCATGCTTGTTCTTTTTCCTCCTTCACTCCGCAACAAACGGGGAGATTTTTATAGACGTTGATCTGAAAAATAATTGGAGCATTAACAGGCTGTATCTGATTTGACTCTAGCTGAGTGGCATCTCATGGCTTTGATTAAGGATGATAATTTCATCCAATTCTACCTGATCCAGATAAATTAGTGTTTTTTTAAATATTTATTTTATTCAATAATAAATTATGAATAGAATTATAAATATTATTAAAATTGATTTGAAACTCACACTTAATATATACCTATCTCAATATTGACAGAACAATGTATACGTATAGTATTTGTCATTTCATCATTTGATACACACACTTTAAATACATACATATACATATATATAGTAATTATTTTATTTTTTATTAAATAATAAATAATGATAGATAATAGATACTCATGTAAATACTTAAAATATGATAAATAATTTTAAATTCTTTTATTGATAAACAAGAAATAATATATAAATATTAAGAAATTCAACTCTACCCATTGCCATCCTTAGCTTTGAGATGTCCGAGAAAACGTGCTGTAATGTATTAAGAGTCTAATTATAAGACTAGTAATTAATGATATTGTTGCAAGCTAAGAAGTTAATCATAATGCTGATTTCCACTAGACATGACATGCCTCCATTAATGTCTTGCTAGAAACAACCCTTGCTCGGATCTCAAGAAACATCATACATGATTAAGCTGTCCATGTTCTCTTTCTAGTAAGAGGATCAAATCATGTCGGCCTCTTTATGGCCATGGTGGCATGGGAGGCATTCAAGAGCACATCACAGAGAGAGACTCATTTGAGAACCATTCACCTAAAATTTAAATGTTCGAAAAAAAAAGTTTAAATAACATTAATACATTAATCTGGCAAGAATTATGTCAAATAACATGTACAAACATTACATTACGATTACAATTACAATGAAACCCGAAGAATTTTTTAGATTTTATTTCTGGTGCATTTAGTTTAAAACTTTATATTATGGGTTTGAAATTTTATTTTATTTACATTTTAATTTTTAAATTTAAAAAAAGGAGTCTTTTAAAAATGATAAAGGAGTGAAATAAAATGAAAAGAAAAGGAAGCTAAATTTTATGAGTATTATTGAGGAATGTTTAAACTTTTGTATTATTAAAAAAATAGATCAAAGTTAAGAATTTTTTTTCAATTTAATTTTTTAATTTTAAACTAATTTAGAGGTATTTCATGTTGATAAATTAGTTTACAAATGTTCTATGAGTGTTTATTAAATTTTTTAAAATAAATCTAAAATAAAAAATGATTTTTTTTCCAAAGAATCTAAATAATTAAATGACGCATTATATATTTTATTTAGAAACAAATAAAATAGCGTACAACATGTCATTCTCCTTTGAGAAAAAATAAATAAATTTGAAGGTGAAGAATACCAGTCTAACTTATAGACCCGAACGTATTGATTTTTTTTTTTTGGCCAAGCACATGAGCCCCATTTTTTAGTCCACCCTTAACCCTTTTTTCATTGAAATGTATTATAAAAAAAGCTTAACATATTATTTAAATTACTATTCAATTTTCCATGATTATTAAATAATATTATATTTTTTAAAATAGAAATGTGATCAATTTTTCTTCCATTGCTATGTACTGATATGCAAAATTAAGAAATAAAAGATTGCTCATGAATATATATTCAAGAAAATAAAATTTATTTTATCTAATTTTTATGGATTTTTTAGATTTTTTTATCATATTTTTTTATTTAATTAATTGCATACAAAATATTGACATATTATCTTATTCTTAATATTTTTTTAAAAAAAACTTATTTCTTAGATCATGTTAGATTTTTATTTAAAAAACATTGCTTACAATAAATAAAATATGCTTTTGTTCAAACAATAAAGAGTTGCATTAATAAAAAAAAATATTTCTTCTTGATAATTTTATTTTTTGTCTTTATTGCAAACTTTATTTTTATAATTTTGTAATTAAATAAAAATAAATTTTAAAAAACAAGATTATTAAACTCTTTTAACGTCATAACCTAGATAATAAATTAAGCTATTTAATTAAGATGAGTTTAAAATATTTGTTTAATAAATTGCATACAAAATATTGAGATATTATCTTATTCTTAATATTTTTTTAAAAGAACTTATTTCTTAGATCATGTTAGATTTTTATTGAAAAAACATTGCTTACAATAAATAAAATATGCTTTTGTTCAAACAATAAAGAGTTGCATTAATAAAAAAAAATATTTCTTCTTGATAATTTTATTTTTTAGTCTTTATTGCATACTTTATTTTTATAATTTTATAATTAAGTAAAAATAAATTTTAAAAAACAAGATTATTAAACTCTTTTAGGGTGATAACCTAGATAACAAATTAAACTGTTTAATCAAGATGAGTCAAAAATATTATTATTGTAATTTTCTATAAAAAAATATAATTAATATTGATTTTTTTGAAAAAATATCGAACCAAGTTTCAATCAAATAAGTTCACCAAATCAACTAAATAACTCTAGATTAAATCTCATCTAGTTTACTTAGAAATCTTGCTCAATTTAGAGAACAAGTTAATGCTTCATCATATTA